AGAATAAAAACACAGCTTTTTTTCTTTTTTGCCTATGTCTAAACATAAAAGTTTAATTTTTTGCCTCTCTTACCTTCTAGCTCTTCACCACATGGAAAGCATTGTTATTACAGAACTACATTCACAGTGAACATGTAGTTCTGTTTTATTTATTTTACATAATATTGGGTAACACTTATTCTTGTTCTTGCATGGTCTCCATCTGCCCAGTTGCCCAGGCCAGAAGACTGAGTCACCATAGCTTCTTTGCCTCCCTCTCAGGCCACATTTGGCAAGTCCCCACATTCTTTGAGGCCCACTTATTTAATGTCTCTCATGTTGGGCCCCTTCTCTCCATTTTCATACTCTTTTCCAAATCTGATCACTTCAACTACCCAGTCACTTATTTTCCCATAGTGCATCCTCCACACTTCTATCCAAGGGATTTTTATAACACACATCTATTATTTGAATGTCCTGTCAAGAGGCAGTACTCCACCAACACCCTAGAGAATATTTTTATCATACCTCAAAGATTGCTTGGCTGAAGGTAGGACATTTTTCATGGGGAAGTAACCCAGAAACATTCTAGGAGGAACATTATCCAGGCTCCAAATGCTTTGATATTCAAAGTTACTGAAGCCAGTCAGGATGAATTGGATGGTCCTGACTAGGTCCCAACAGTAAGGAATGGCACCCCAAGGCTCATGAGAGGCAAACACCTTGAGTGGCAAAATCCCTTTAGCAATTGTGGAGTCTTTTAATTCCAAGTCTTCCTTCCAGAGAAGTTATGTCAACATATTCCCAAAATCATAACAAAAACATTTCTCATCAGTTGTAGCCATCTAACTAACATCACAGAGACTCATACTTAGGAAAATTTTCTTCTTGCAATAGGTGATGTCATATTTTTCCTCATTCACTTTAGCTTTTTGGACATTGACTCCTCCTTCATTGGCCTCACACAGAAGATATGTGCATCTTCTTGTCTCTGTGATGAAACCTGGGCTCTAACACTGGTCAAAACATACAGCGTAGCTACCACACATGCATATTAAGAGATGTACAGTGAGTAGAGAATCAGCAGCTCTGCCAGCCCGTATGCCAGGAAAATGGCAATCTTCCATACTGGGATTTCGAATTACAAAAGGTTAAGAAATTTTAGGAAGAATAAAAGAAACTTGTGAAAGGAAAAAAAAAGATGTCATTTCCTCAATGTGAAAAATGTCTTCAAACATTTAATTCCCACAGCAGCTCTGAGATGTGTTGTGATTCTGCTTTACAGATGTGAAAACCTGAACCTCAGAGAGATTTACTGATACACTCTCAAATCTCAGAACTAATGGGAGTCAGAGTCTTGACACAGAACTTGTCTTAATTCTCTGAACTCAGTGCACTTTCCAGTTTACCTTATGCCCTTTATGTAGATGGCCATCTGTCACAGGTCACAACCTTTCTCGGCCTTTAGAATGAGGATGTTATATTCAGTCATGTCTCAAGAGCAAAGCTATTTACCCTTTGGGGTAATAATTATAGTAAATGCTGAATAAGAAGAATGACTTTTGTTAAGTCTAATGGAAACACCCATTAATTATTTCTGTTATGAGGGATGAAAGAGTAACCTGCATTTCTCAGAAATGAAACTCATTGACAATCTAGCACTCATTTTAACCAACTGTTGACTAAGGCAAAATTGACATTACCTCTTTCTGAGTTTTTTCCCCCCTGTGGTTTCAGTGGCCAAAAGACAAAGACACAAGTAATAATCAACTTTAAATAATAATTTTCTTAAATAAGCTTTAAATAATCATTTTAAATCAAGTTTATAGTTTACAAAGCTCTGTTGTGTTATTTCCTTTAGTCATAAGTCATAGGAGATAGAGAGTGTTAGCCCCATTTTACAGATATGAAAGTGAAGGTCCAGGACTTCCCATCTCAAATCTCTGCACTAATTCACACACACAGAGCTGCCCACACACCCATGGAGCTCTGGTAGCACAGTGCCTTAGGCACTTGACTGCTACCCAGAAAGCTGGCGTTTCAAACCCACCACCCACTCCTTGGAAGGAGGGTTGGGCAATCTACTTCCGCAGTGATACTGACTCGGAAACCCAAGATGGGGTTGCTGAGTCAGATCCGACTTGATGGCCTTGAGTTTGGTTTTATTTTTTGGTACACACAGAGAGAGACAGACATATACCCTCTGTGACTTGCATGAAATAGAAATGATAATAAAGAAACAAAAAGCAGAGCCACACAACATAGTTACTTTTGTTGCTCCTGATAATATAGTATAGAACCACATTTTAAATGTGTGTGTGTTTTCTTGTACTATGTAGTGATGTTTTTCTTACACCCCACTACTTAAATATTGTATTTTCCAAGCATATGAATAGAGTGTGTCCAGCTGCCAGAAAAGACCAGATTGACATAATATGAGCTCTTTGTTTATTCACTGAATACGCACAACTTGTGCCCTGCCAGCTGCTTTGTCCAAAGTCTTAACCTTATTCTGTAAGAACCACCTGTATGAGTGACTAGATAATTAATTCCATACTCCAGTTTAGCTTTGGGATCTTCCGTTAAAATTAAATCAGATAATTCCTTTGAGTGTGAATAATATGCCACTCTATAAATTAAATTTGGACCACTCAGGCCAGGTGGATATGGGCTTTTAAAACACTGTGTTTGGAAGGAGTATGATTTACTGGGAACTCATGATATGAAGATACTGTTTAGGCAAAGATGTGTTAATGCTGTACTCAGGACAGATGAAGGAAGTCTTGTGCTATTGAATATTAGTATTTTGAATGTTAGGCCTATGAAGAACCACCCTGATTTACTCATTTCATATCAGATAGTAAATTGCTATAAGATGATAGTGTGTAGGCCAGAGTACATTTTTTTTTCTGATTTATAAAAGAGGTGTATCCAGAAACATGGGCTTACCAATATATAGAATGATACTAGGGTTACTTTAAGATACAGCAGAAACTTAACATATCAAAGAAGACAAGTTGACAACTTGTCAATGACTTGATGCATTTTCTGCAAATGTACCCCAAATATTTGCACTGGACTATAAGGTGAGTCATTTTCAGGACTTTCAGCAGCCATTGGTGGTTTCAATGCATAAGCAACTGGCAACAAACAGACAATATGTCAACTGAAATTAATAAACATATATTATTGAAAGAAAGTCTCCATTCTTCAATCAGTATTCAATAGTTAAGGAGAGTTTACTTACGTGCTTTACTTCTAGTCAAAAGCAATCACCTCCTCATCCCCTATGAAATTACACCTTACTTGACCATGGGCTGAGCACGTTGTTATCAGAAAGAGGGCAGAGACGGTGTTGAGTTTTTCTAAATATTTCCAGCTCCATTCATTGATAGCATATTAGGAAGTTCACTTTCTGCTGCCTGCAATGTTAGATATTCTACTGGGAATTTAATTGTGAGTGGGTGATGACACCAAACTCTTAAAATTTGCTTCAAGTGACCTTATCTCAGTTATTGTCAAAACTTGGTCCAGGGCCCTTATGATGTCATTCATTCCCATTCAGTCAGTAGGAGTAGGAGGCAGAGGACAAGTGGAGTGACATAGGTGACAAAAAGTAAGGAAGCCGCTTTCTAGAGAGATTAGCTCCCTACCACACAGAACTTTCTGTATTTCTAAATTGTCTGTTTAATCTTAAATGCTTCTGAAAACATTTTTCAAAATCCACTCATTGTTTTCTAACCCTTGTGATACATGGACTGCTTTAAATGCGGCCCTTTTTTATAATCTTCACTTTGAAAATGCAAACAAATGTGTGAACCTTAAGATCAGATTGGAAAAGTGAGTGAGGGCCATTGGAAGCAAAGATGAGTAATGTTGGTTCTATTCTCCCAGCTCTTTACAGAGAAAGTCAAACTTGATGAGGTTTGTCACTTAAGTGTGAGAAGTTAAGGCCTCAGAATTAACCGCAACTGTTTCTGTTAGATTGAGGCAAAATCCATGTATCGCACTCCCTCTGCTGGCCCTGCAGCTGCAACAGCCCATTAACCAGACGTATTTTTAAATATATTTTTCCATTAAGAAAAAAAAAAGTATGTGGTAAAGGAAGCAAAGGCTGGGGAAGCTGTTAACTTTATTAATCTTTTAAAATGTCAAAGAAACAAGCATCTGCCTGATGCAAATGGTTAGGATGAGCAAGAAAGCCACAAGTTTTCAGGTTTTACAAACGGTTTCAATTCAGCCCTATAGTAAGTTATTTAAAAAAAAAAAAAAAAGGAGAGGGCTCCTATTCTGTCCCTGAGAATAAAGCCGAACAAACAAAAACAAAGCAGTTGCATTTGAGTTGACTCTGACTGATGGCAACTTCCTATGTGTCAGGCTGGAAGTGTGCTCCACGGGGTTTTTAAGAGCTATTTGGAAATAGACCACTAGGCCTTTCTTTCAAGACACCTCTGGGTGGATTCGAACCCTAACCTTTTGCTTAGCAAAAAAGAGCATTAATTGTGCTGAAATGTTATACCTCAGGGGAAGCCACTTCCAGGCATGAAAGCAAGTTACCCATGAGCCCAGAAGAGAATCATTGTTGTTATGTGCCCTTGTGTCAATTCCAACTCATAGTGATCCTATAGGACAGAGCAGAACTGTCCCCTAGGGTTTTCAAGGCTGTAATCTTTACTGAAGTAGACTGCCACATCTTTCTCCCAGAGAAACTGGTGGGTTCAAACCACTGACCTGTCAGTTAGTAGTCAAATGCTTAACTACTGCACCACCAGGGCTCCTTGGGAGAGAATCAGCACTGTGGAAGTGTACAGCCAGGGAGACTCAAGAAGCAATGGTTCAACCCTGAGCAAGAAGGAGAGCCTGCCAGAGGAGGAAAAGTTCCATATGTCTAGGGACCCTGAGGGCCCAAGACCTGTTTCCACTCTTAGTTAATGAGCCTGTTGAGTGAGGGTTTTCCTGCAGGACCGATCTTCTTCCTTGGCATTATTCTCTTTCACATCCTTGCTTTCTTTCTCCCACAGGCGTCTGGATGCCAACCACATCAGCTATGTGCCCCCCAGCTGTTTCAATGGCCTGCACTCCCTGAGACACCTGTGGCTGGATGACAATGCTTTGACAGAAATCCCTGTCCAGGCTTTCAGAAGTTTATCAGCCTTGCAGGCCATGACCTTGGCTCTAAACAAAATACACCACATACCAGACTATGCCTTTGGAAACCTCTCCAGCTTAGTAGTTCTGTAAGTTTTATAGATTTTTTTTTTCTCTCTTTTTTAGCAGTTTCTAAATTTACTGTAACCTTAACCTTAAAATATTGACCCATCAAACCTGGAAATGGGGACATTTTAAAGAAGAAAAATCCCCTGAATCCCTCCCCAAAAAGAAGGCCTCATAAGTGATCTAATTGTGTAAGTGAATGAATGATATTTATTGAACACCTTCTAAATGCCAACCACTGTTGTGCATATGAAGATAGTAAAATATGATTTCTGCCTTAAAGGAGCTCTGGTGGCATAGTGCCTAAGGTATTTGACCGCTAATCAAAAGGCTGGTGGTTCCAACCCACCAGCCACTCCGCAGAAGGAAGACTAGACAATCTACTTCCATAGAGGTTCCACCTCGGAAACCCAAGGAGGGTTCACTAAGAGTTGGAACCGACCCAACGGTAGTGAATTATTTTTTTAGCTTGTATATTTTGTAAGTCAATCATCACTGCACAGTTATTACAGTTACAGAAGTTAAGAAACAATCATTATTTCTGATAATTTATAATTCAGGTAGAAAGGAAATACGCCCTTCTTATGAATGAATAAGTACTTCCTGAACACCTACCAAGGAAAGAAGAAAATTAACTTTTGACAGCAAGCTATGCATATATATGGTGTTTTTTCTGAAATGCCTAGATTTCATTATTTTAGTATATCCAAGTGATTCTCAATAGTTTGAAAAATGATCAGTCTTCTTGAAGATTTCAGCAACCCACGAATGTAACATAGTAGCCAATCAACATTAATATAGGCAAGTAGCAACTGCTGGAAAAGCTTGTAAGATGGGGTTGCTTGGGAACTTTGAGGAAGGTTTTCTTGCACTGACTCTTTCTTCCTTTGCTCCATGCATAGCAGCCAACTCCCACTACCTTCAGTCATTCCACTTTATTATGTGATTGCATGCCAGTCCCCTGCACTGCATTATATACTGCTTTGAGGGCCGCACAGTACCTTACTCATTGTTTTTTACGTTTCCTTCATCCCATTTTGCAATGTTTCACAAGTAGAAGATTCCCAATAAAAGCCATGTAGACCTCACATGAAACCCAGGTATTTTCTGAAAAGTTAAGCAAAGATAAGAATTTTTTTTATGATACTAACAAATTTCTATACTGAATTACATGTACAAAACTGATGCTATAGATATGTGCTTTATTTTATTTTTTTTTTTTCCCTCCAATAGAGGGAATGGATTTATAGAGATCCAGCTATCTTTTTGCATCCTGTTCTTCTTGAGCTCATTATCCCTTAGGGAGTTGGTCCAGTCTTCGGTTGTGCACGTAGCTGTTCCCACTGGCCTGATCTAACTGAATTACCAGTCAAGCAAAGATGATAATTATACACTTTAATACTGGGTCAAGATACATAATCTCATTGGGCAGCCAAAAAAACCTGTTTACCCTGCCTCACAGCTGAAATCGTTACTTTGTGTTGACCTGTGGCTTCACCCTGGAAACATAGCCATAATATAAACTTTCAGCTTTAATAAATATTGTGCTTAATATTAACAGTAGACCTTTCCTAAATCTTCCATTTGTCAATGATAGTATTTTTTGCCTAACATCCTATATCCCAAAGTTATGCTGAACAAATGAACAACCTATGCTGAAACATATGCTGAGCAATGATGCTGAGAAACCTTAATTTACTTATATCAGTCATGTGTTGGACTATGTGAAGAAGAGAGCAGTGTCAGAATTGGAGGAAGACTCATTAACAATAACCTGAAACATGCAGATGATACAACCTTGCTTGCTGGAAGTGAAGAAGACTTCAAGCACTTATTGATGAAGATCAAAGACTACAGCCTTCGGTATGGATTACACCTCAACATAAAACAAAAATCATCACAACTGGACCAATAAGCAACATCATGATTAACAGAGAAAAGACTGAAGTTGTCAGGGATTTCATTTTACTGATTAAAATGAAATCCAAGTTTTCTCTGGAATCCACAATCAATATCCACGGAAGCAGCAGTCAAGTACTCAAATGACATATTGCATTGGGCAAATAGCCTACAAAAGACCTCTTTAAAGTGTTAAAAAGCAGAGGCGTCACTTTGAGGGCTTAGGTATGCCTGACCCAAGCCATGGTATTTTCAATCACTGCATATGCATGTGAAAGCTGGACAATGAATAAGGAAGACTGAAGGAAAATTGATGCTTTTGAATTATGGTGTTGGTGAAGAATATTAAACATACCATGGACTGCCAGAAGAACTAACAAATCTGTCATGGAAGAAGTACAACCAGAATCCTCCTTAGACGCGAGAATGGCAAGACTTCATCTCATGTATGAACATGTTCCGAGGTGGTATCACTACAGAAGTAGATTGCCCAATCTTCCTTCTGAGGAGTGGCTGGTGGGTTTGAACCACCAACCTTCTGGGTTTTTTTGTTTTTGTTTTGGTTTCGGTTTTTTAATTAGGAGGGACCAGTCCCTGGAGAAAAATGTCATACTAGGAGCTCTGGTAGCATAGTGGCTAAGACACTTGCCTGCTAACCAGATGGCTGGTTCAAACGCACCAGCCACTCCTCGGAAGGAAGGTTGGGCAATCCTACTTCCGTAGTGATACTGCCTCAGAAACCCAAGGAGGGGTCGCTATGAGTTGGGTTTGACTCGATGGCACATAACAACAACAACAACAGGTAAAGTAGAGTTCAGCGAAAAAAGAGGAAGACCTTCAATGAGATGAATTGACACAGTGCTTGCAGCAATGGGTTAACATATATCAATGATTGTGAGGATGGTTCTGGACCAGGCAGTGTTTCATTCTTTTGTACGTGGAGTCACTATGAGTCACAATCAACTACACGGCACCTAACAACAAATCACGTTATTTATATCATTATATACTCTTTAATATTTCACACCCAAAAAGTAAAACTATGTCTACGAGTTAAATTCTATAGTATAGGATCAACAGTGGTAAATGTGAATTCAGCATATAGCCATTTTTTTAATTATTCAACAAAGCACTTGTATATAATTAGTGCATTGTTCAAAATCAATTTCTTTGGATTTAACCAATTGAAGTGTTATGCCTAAGTCTGCCATGTATAGTGTCCCTTCCTGACTGTGTCCTTAATGTTCATCTGCAGGCATCTCCATAACAATAGAATCCACTCCCTGGGAAAGCAATGCTTTGATGGGCTCCACAGCCTAGAGACTTTGTGAGTTGACCTCTTATTTGTTTCCTTTTTTTTTAGTGTTTTTCATGAATATTCTGAAAGAATCAAAATAGTCTTAAAGCCAAACTTGCTGTTTGGTATGGTTAATTGCCTGAGCTTAAACATATTTACAGTGGCTTTTTGTTAGCCTCACATAAGCACACACCCACACACACCAAAGAGCTAAACAATAAAATAGCCTTTATTTCAATCTGCCAAGAATGATGAATTTAGTTAGAATCTTTGTAAGTTAAACGAGATGTTCTCTCCCGAGCAGTGACTGTTTAGGAATGTGTATTCGCTGTCAAAGATCAGTTCTATGTTGTCAGTCAGGCTCACTATTCATGAATCTGGTTCTCCATGCTAAATGAGAGGATGCAGACTAGGCCAATGCCAGAGTCTCTAATCTGAGATAAACAGACTGTTTCATTAGGAAACAGTGAGGTTTGTGTTAAAGTAATTAAAAGACTAAAAAGTAGTAGGAACAAAAACCAAACCAAACCCACTGCCATCGAGTTGATTCCAACTCACAGCCACCCTATACAACAGAGTAGAACTGCCCTGTAGGGTTTCCAAGGCTGTAAATCTTTATAGAACCAAACTGCCTCATCTTTCTCCCATGGAGCAGCTGATGGGTTCAAACCACCAACCTTTTGCTTAGCAGCTGAATGCTAGTAAGAGCTACCATTTATTAAGCATATCTATAATCATGTACTGTATTGAGCACTTGGCATACACTGTCTCAAGTAATCCTTACAGTCTATGAGAACTATTACTGTTCCATTTTATTTTAAGTTCTAGTAAGATTACGTTATCCTACCAACATTACATATCTAGTCAGTAGTATAACTGCAGTTTGCTTCCTTTTCTAGTCTAACTTTGAAATCCTACCCCTATAAGTTACTTCTAAAGAATAGGTTAAAAAAAGTCAGTCCTGAAATAGCACCTGTAATAAAAGTAGGGCCCAGGCAGCTGCACCATAGCCTAAAACTCTCACAGGGACAAAAGGAGAAGGGTTCTATGGGTCATACCAGGGTGCCAGCCTTTTCTCAGGGGAAGGACTGCTCTTCATTGCCTTTTTGAGTGAGAAAGGGATAAATGAGGGAGAGGTGACAGGCAGTGAGGGTAAAAATGTGCTGGGAGAGGAGAGTACTGGTGGCTTCAGATGCCCTAGCCCCATGTTTTTAATACCCTTCCCAAGTACAGTAAACCAACCACATAGGGCTACCCAGTCTACAATACTCCCTTTGACCACGTCTGCAAAAGGAGATGGCCAAAGACTACCGCTCCTATTGCCTTAGAGTCCAATATCATTTGTATAGTGTTCAACTCTGTAGAATAACCAGGTCCTTAAGGGCCTTCTTGTGATTGATGAGTACTAACAGCTCTCCTTCTAGGGTTTCTTAAGTCACTCAGCATTTCCTCTCAGTTGCCAAAGATGAACTTGTCCAGTCAGGACATTGATGTCAACTTAATGGCATTGGCAAGCAGTTCCCATCAGCTACTAATGAAAATTGAGCTCCTTCCTTATCTACACAGGGCTGAGCTGGGATTCTTAACAACTGAAGTCACCTTCTAATCCTTTTCACTACAACAGCAGGAAAAAAATAACTAAGATGGACTTTGATGGCTATTTCCATAAATACTCTCTTTTTTTACCCCCTTATGTTTGGATGAGGCCCCAGGATTGTATGTAAATACCATAGAGCAAAGCATCTCGGGGCAAACTTGTGCATGTTTTCTTGTCTCCCCTCCCCCTACCTTGCCCAGGGCTACAGAGGATCAGTAAATTGGTTCTTCCCAACCTCTTCCTTCCCCCAACTAGAAATCCAGTAATGTATAAGGGCCCAAACCTTGTTTAATCAAAACAGAGCATCTGGAGAGATTTACAAACAGGAAGAAAATTTATGTCCATAAAAGACACCAGTTTCCTGCCTGCAGTATAGCTTAGGGATGGTTTGTGCCAGACAAGTAGGAATCTTGATTCATGTTTAACTCCCTCAAATTATCTCTCTCTTAAAATTAAATAGCGATTTTTCTCCACAGTGGAAGATCTGACCACATCTGATTGCCTGACCAAAAGGTTTTCCTGCGTCATCTGGGAGATCTGCCATTCCCAGAGACCAGGAGGCAATTACTTTTTCATACGAAGATGTAGATATGAGGTGCAGTAAGTCTATAAAGTGCTTGTGAGTAATGAAATTGAAAAGCCATTTGTATCGTAACAGAAATGAATGATTTGAGATTGTTTGTCTGGTCATTCCATCTCTTTGCATGAGAGATAATATAGAGTTTTGCCTCACAGACCAAGGAAAACATCATATTTCTAATCTGAATCATTATTTTTGACCCTGAGAAAATTCTAGACCTGATTTCCTTCCTGAGAATACCTTGTATTACTAAACATCTCCAGAAGCAGGCTCTCATCCTAGACCTCAGAGTGGGAGAGATACAGGCACCCTACAGAAGTCAGGGACAAAGCCGCCATCCAAGGCTAGACACAGAAAAGGAGTGGGGAACAGTCAGAGGGTGAAGGATGGATCAAGTAATGAAATGTCATTCAGGAGCCTGGAGTGGTACAAATACAAGTTCACAATTCAGTGAGTCAGGCACAGATGAAGAGCTACATTGGCAGGGGTCAACACCTGGTCAAGTGTCCTTCCTACTTGAAAGTTAATGCCATTGCACATCCCTTTCATTCTTCAAAGGCCCAGGTGCAATTGAACTTTGACTGAAATTTCTCATGATCAGTTTTATGACCACTTTAATGCAGATACTTATGGGATGATGGTGGTCAGCAAGCCAAAAAAATCTCTTTCCATAAAGAGAAGGAATGAGAATTCTCATCAATGACATTGGTCTCTTGGAGGAGCCTGTTAACTTTTCTTGTAAATATAGTTTATGTGAATTTTTAATTGAAAATGCTATTTACCTCTTTTCAGAGATTTAAATTATAATAACCTTGATGAATTCCCCACTGCAATCAGGACACTCTCCAACCTTAAAGAATTGTAAGTATTAAGAACAAATTTGATGGGGGAACACTATTCTTTGTGAATTTATTCTAAAATATGTATGAGTATTAAACATAATATTACTTGCTAGAAAATTTAATATATTCATATAAATAATGACTAATAGCACTTGAAATGTATTTTAATTGATACCTACCTCCAGCAAACACTGATGATCATTTTTGACTTATGTTTTGATTACTTATTGCTGCTCTAACCAAAAATAAGACAAATGGGTGGATTTAAACAAACAGGAGTTTATTCTCTTACAGTTTTGGAGGCTAGAAGTCTGAGTTCAAAGTGCCAGGCTCTAGGGTCTGGGTGTGAGCCCCTCAGACTTGGGCTTCAGTTCTGCCTCTTGGTCCCAGCCCACTGAAGCTGGAGGCTTTTTTTTACTTGGGCAGCTGCTGGCTACTGTGTCTGACAAACCCAAGGTCAACAAGTAAAAAGGCATAGTCTCAATATTACCAAACAACACAGCAGGCCACTAATTCAAGTCCAGAGATAGTCCCAAGATAAGCAAAAAAACATGGCAGGCTGCTAAATGAAGCCTCTGCTACATGCAGAGCCCAAGCATGCCACAAAGCTGCAGACCCTTCCCAAAGTGTCCCCTTATGTGCCAGAAGCAGACCACAGCCTTAAAGCAGCCACTCAGCTGCTCACACAGCAGATCCCGCCACAGAGGTGATCATCATTCTCACCAGGGAAACAACTACATCCAGCTGCACAGCCACTCAAAACCAGCCCAGCCAAGTTGACACATAACCTTAACTGCCAATTTATAATGGGTTTTCTCTAAAACATGGGCATTTTATTTCTTTTCCTAAGCCGTATTCTTCCAACATTTATATACTTTTGAATATATTCAAATATTTCTGAGGATTTCTAGGAACAAACTTTCCTAGGTCATTTAAATCTAGCAATGGATCAATAAAACTAAGTGCCTAGTACAGTGCTAGGTGTTTTTGCTTACATTATTTCATATTCTGTAAATTCTTCATAACCCACTAACATAAAATTGACCCAACTCATAGTGACCCTATAGGACAGAGTAGAACTGCTACATAGGGTTTCCAAAGCTGTAAATCTTTATGAAAGCAGACTGCTACATCTTTCTCTACAGTGCAGCTGGTGAATTTGAACAACCAACCTTTTGGTCAGCAGCCAAGCACTTTAACCACTGTGCCACCAGCACGCCTTAAATTCTTCATGAATCTTACTTCATAACAAATATATATATGTATTTGTTGTATTGTTGTTATGTGCCATCGAGTCAGACCCAACTCATAGCAACCCCTCCTTGGGTTTCCAAGGCGACATCACTATAGAAGTAGATTGCCCAACCTTTCTTCCCAGGAGTGGCTGGTAGGTTTGAACTGCAAGCCTACTGGTTAGTAGTCAAGTGCTTTAGGCACTACACTACCAGAGCTCCACATATATCCATGGTGTGTGTGTATATATATATATATATATATATATATACCAACCATTCTTACTAATAAAGCTAGTTTTCAGTCATTGTTGTGTTGTTGTTATGTGCCGTCAAGTCAGACCTGACTCATAGCGACCCCTCCTTGGGCTTCCGAGGCAGTATCACTATGGAAGTAGATGGCCCAACCTTCCTTCTGAGGAGTGGCTGGTGGGTTTGAACCACCAGTCTTCTGGTTAGCAGTCAAATGTCTTAGGCACTGTGCTACCAGAGTTCCTTTTCAGTCATTAGGTTACATATATTGTCTTTCATATGATAAAATTTAATTGTTTTTGTCCCTAAAAATAAGAATAACCTATGTAAAGAATGTTCTAACACTTGGAAAGGAAAATAAGCATATAACCTTATTCTCCTAGCAGACAGATAAAAACACACAGCAAAGGAGGCAGACAGCAGAGCTTGTTTGTAAGAAAAAGCTTTCAGGAGGTTCTGCTGCAGGAAATCCCATGTGTGGTTGAGCTGGGAAATCATCCTCTTATGTGCTCAGACAGCCCAAAGACTGTCACACACACCAGATGGCTCCCACTCTCTTAGGCTGTTATATATACAGTGGTGCTTTATTGGGTATGAGAAACAGTTTTTACTTATTGTGGAATCTAGATTTCTGGATTCCATGGAGATGGGGTGACCCACCCAGGCCATTTCTCTGAGATGATCTTCTGAACCTTCAGCATACTAGTCTCTCAAAAGTCACCTTTAAGTGAAACAATAGTCTTACTAACTAGTAGAGACTGTTTTGTATTGGGCACTGTGTTCTTTTGAAGAATTACCTATGTGCAGTCATTTTCAAGAAACAGAAACTCCTGGGTCAGACCACACTGGAAGCTGTGTTTTAGGATAAATCATCATTATGAAATCACTGTTCCAGCCCTGTTTCCATGGCAATATTGATAAGTTGGAGTATAAGAATCTTTGGATGAACCTCGGCGTATATGACCATGAGACAAGAAGAACTAGATGATGCCTGGCTACCACTGTCAACCACTTGAAAAGGGATCAGTGCAAGAGATCCTGGATAAAGTGGGAGAAAAATGTGGAACAAAAATCAAATTCATAAAAAAGACCAGGTTTATTGGTCTGATAGAACCTAGTGAAACTCCCAAGACTATGGCACCTAGTGATCCTTTGGGCCTGGAATTGATTCATTCCTGTGGCTTCCAACCAAATACTAGACAGACATATTAGGTGAACATTTACACCAGGTAGGTACACTCCTTAGAACAGTCAACGATGGGAGACCAGAAGTGCAGTATTTGCACAGGGAGATAGCTCAGAGGGCAGGAATACATAGGAAAGAAGGACACAGGGAAAAAGTAATTATAGGGAGGAAGTGGGAAGAGAGCTATTATATTTTGGGGACTGCAATCAGAGTTATAAAACAAAATATGTATAAACAGCTATAAGGAAAATGAATTTGCTTTGTAAACTTTCACGCAAATCACAATTTTAAAAAAAGAAGGAAAATCTTTTGACGGTCTCTCATCTTTGGAACACTTTAATTTTCTAGTCAGAAGTGTTGCCCAATGTGCAAATTGCATATCAAATAAACTTCAAATCAGTGTATATTATTGGCTTAATATGATTTTTGCTTTAACAGATATTAACAGATTGGTTTTCTTTTTAGAACTTGAGGTCATCCATTTCCATAAAGCACAATTATTATTTTCAGAATATTTATTCTGCTTTCAAGATGACAGCTTGTGGTTTCTTTTTCTCCTAGAGAGTAATTAGGGCCATAAGTTTCAAAATGCATAGAAGAATTTAACCTTGTCCTCTGACTCCTAACTGTGCTTATTAGTGCCACAGGAAGGAAAACTATTAAATAATTTTACCCTACATGTTATTTTCTACAAATTGTTTTCTCTGTTTTTTTAGAGGATTTCATAGCAACAATATCAAGTCGATACCTGAGAAAGCATTTGTAGGCAACCCTTCTCTTATTACAATGTAAGTGACCACAGTGCTTTTCAGTTTTTTCATCCTGAAATTTAGCATGTACAATGAGTGTTCAATATTCAACCAAGTTGTGTCTGTTAGTCGGTGTAAGAAACTATATAGAGAAATGTTTAGGAAAGTGTTTTGCCAGGTTTTAGTTGAAAAAAAGTATTTTTTAGGGTCTACTATATGCAGGATAGGAGCTCTGGTAGCATAGTGCCTAAGGCACTTGACTGCTAACCAGAAGGCTGGTGGTTCAAACCCACCAGCCATTCCTTGGAAGGAAGGTTGGGCAATCTACTTCTGTAGTGATACTGCCTCAGAAACCCAAGGTGGGGGGGGGGGTTAATATGCAGAACTAGGAGCCCTGGTGGTGCAGTGGTTAAGTGTTTGGCTTCTAACCAGAAGGTTGGTGGTTTAACCCACCAGCTGCTCCACAGAAGAAAGATGAGGCAGTCTGCTTCATAAAGATATAAAGATTATAGCCTTGTAAACCCTATGGGGCAGTGGTACTCTATCATGTAGGTTGAGATGAGTCCAAATCATCTCGAAGACAATGAGTTTGTTTGCGTTTTTTGTTTTGTTTTTTTAATATATACAAAACAGGAGTTTTTGGGTGGCATAAATGGTTGAGTACTAGCCAAAAGGTTGGTAGTTTGAACCCACCCAGATAAGCCTAATAAGAAAGGCCAGGTGATCTGCTTTTGAAAGGTCACAACATTGAAAACTCTGTAAAGCAGTTCTCCTCTGCACACACCGGGACACCATGCGTCAGAATGGCCAAGGGCAACAAACAATATACAGGACCTTATATCTTCAGATGCCTTGGTTCATTTCACAGTAATCTTGTGATATCTCATTTCTCTATAGAAAAAAAAAAAAAATTGGTTTTTAGAGAATCAATACTCAGGTCACACAGTCCAAATTTGAACCCAAGTATACTGTTGTTGTTGTAGTTAGGTGCGGTCGAGTCATCTCCGACTCATAGCGACCCTATACACAGCAGAACGAAACACCGCCCGGTCCTGCACCAGCTCCATGATCCTTGCTATACTTGAGCCCATTGCCACTGTCACTGTGTCAGTCCATCTTGTTGAGGGTCTTCCCCTCCTTCATCGACTGTCCACCTTATCAAGCATGAAATCCTTCTCCAGGAATGGTCCCTTCTGACAATATGACCAAAATAGATGAGACAAAGTCTCACCATTCTCAGGTCCAAGGAGCATTCCGGCTACACTTCCTCCAGGAGAGATTTGTTAGTTTTTTTAGCAGTCCATGGTACTTTCAGCATTCTTCGCCAGCACCACAACTCAAAAGCATCAGTTCTTCTTTGGTCTTCCTTATTCATTGTCCAGCTCTCACATGCATACGAGGCAATTGGAAATATCCTGGCTTGTGTCAGGCACACCTTA